TGCCTTCCCATCGTATTCCTGTGGCTTCCTTCATACTGGATCACTCCTAGTACTGACATTCATATCTGGGATAGGGCTTGTCATTGTCTGGGGCTGATTAAGGTGATGGTCAATGTATCCTCCTTGTGTAAAAAACAACAGACCGTCCTTTAACGTATCTAATTCGCTTTTAAATTTACTAATGTTTTCCATTTGTACTTCTTGTTTCCTTTCTTGTTCCAGTTGCCACTGCTATAGTCTCTCTTCTTGTTTCTTTTCTCGTTCTTCTTGTTTATTTTCTTTCTCCTCTAACAACTGCTGTAATTTCTCTTCTTGTTTATTTTCTTTCTCCTCTAACAACTGCTGTAATCTTCATATTGACGTAGCTAGATAACACTCGTATTAAACAGATTACAAGATAGCCATATTGAAACCATTTAAAAATAGCCATTTTGAACTAACTACAGGAAAGTCATGTTGAACCAAGAAGAAGACAGCCATATTGAAACCATTTAAAAGTAGCCATATAGAAGTAGCTAGATAACACTCGTATTAAACAGATTACAAGACAGCCATATTGAAACTAATTAAAAGACAGGCACATTGAACCCACTAGAAGACAGCCAACATAAACGTATTTGAAAACAACACATTGAACCCACTTGAAGACAGTCATACCGAACTTTGCTGGTCTTAGATAGTGAAAGAACAAATAAAATAAGTTGAAATAAGTACTTGCTTGGAAGAATTACCTTTTGAACTGCTGGGATTGGATCCTCTACAGAAAAGCTTATGTGGTGTTGAAATTGGGATGGTTAAATCACTAAGTGAAGTCGTTCTACGGAGCGAGTTCCCAAAGGTGGATTCTAGGAGGCATGAAGTGATAAATGTCATAACCTTTCCCGGCTTTCAGACACAATGATATAAATCACATTATGAAAATGTCATTTAAATAGAACTTACGTTGCTAAAACAATCAATTTAAAGGATAAGCTAAGACAAATCAAAACCATTCAACCCACTCATTTAATTATTAGTAAAATCAGGACAACTGATAATCATTCATATGATTTGAAATACAACTGACTTGGGGGGGGGGGGTGCATTATCGCCTACTGATATCAGGGACAATTGCCACAACACGTTAGTAGTTATAAGGTATGGTCCTTGTCGTGCCTGATGTTAATGGTAGCATTAAACAGATCATAGAGCTGCCACCAATGTATGTTCCTGCTCAATCAATACTTTCCTTATCACTGTATACGTCAAGTTCCTATATCGTAATGGGGTGGAAGAACCAGATTCCGTCCAAAAGTGTAAAATCCAACTGTGTGACTGCACAGTGAATCTATGAGAACAATACTCTTCCTATACATTGTTTCCACGCTAGATGTGTTCTGTTGCAGGGGAGCTGGATTGGTATGTATCTTTTGGAAATCTGGCATACAAGGTGACTTTATGAGTCAGTTTTTAGCCATTGTCACAATGTCTAGTTTCTACTCTGAAAATCCAAGCTTTGATTCTGTAGTAAGGTCCAGAACCAACAGCAGTTTGCTTGTGTAATGGAAGATGATTTATCATAGCTGAACAACTGGTTTATAAGTATTCCCACATCCTGTTAATGACATTTTCAGGTGGTTGGAGCCAACTTGGAACAATCTGTAGGGATTGACTGTCTTTCATTTGTCCAATGACTAAATGTTCAACTGTTTTCTCTCAGATTTAACTAAAATTCATGAACAATTTGGAGAACTTTTAATCTGTGACTCACTTCCAAGTGACAACTTAAATAAAATGTATGGAACCATACATATAGCATAGGCTATAAGATCAATCATTTGCATTTTAAATCAAATTAGGAAGGCTGATTGAAGTTACTTTACGAGAATGGATTAAAAGATTAGACTTTACAAATAAGTTAGTTAATATTTTAAAAGAATATGGTAGTTACTACACTATAGTTTCAAAATAAGCAAACTTTATGGACTAATAAAGTATAAACAAAGTGTACAAAATATTGTAACAAATATATTTATTTTAGAATATGCAAATATTTACATGTGGATGAAAGGACATTAGGTCCACACTACACCTGACAATTTGACATTAATCCACATAATACGATAATATTTGTATTCTAAGTCTGTTCTTAATTTATGAGAAGGAATGTATTAATTGTTTAAAATGTAGATTTAACCCATTTAAGCAATGACAAATCTACCTTTTATAGATTTCTCAGTCGTTTCATTGTCAACAGCATTACTAAGATTGCACATACTTTTACTATTGGTAAGTACACCCATCGAACCTACCTAAATTAAAAAACAGATGTTTTATTCTTGGAAGTTTGATCTTCATAAATACATCCAACAAGTATAAACAATACACACATACAAGTATAATTCAGACATACAGGTATAAAACATTGAATTAAACTTATTACATATTTTTAAGAGGGCAATTTAATTATCCATGTTGTTTGTAATCTAAAAATGTATTGTGATTTCTTCATATGTATGGCTATCATTATCTAAAGGTGAAACTATTGAATTATGGCTTTTTTCTTTCAAATACTTAAAGGATAACGAGGAGTTAACTAACTGTTTTTGGTTTCTTTAGAGCTTCATTAAAAGTCCTAGTCAGTTCCTCTCGTTTGTTTGGTTTAACACTGCTTTCCTGTAATAAACAAAATAACTTTCAATAAGACCCAAAAGTTTAGTACTTTTGTACAAATATTTTCAAATTCTAACCAATGAATTTAATTATTTTATTCAAACTCCTCTCTCACAGAGCTGCAATACAAGGATCAGTGATTAGCAATCTTTTTGCTTTGGATATTTATGAAGAACGATTATTTACATTAGTCATCCCTAATGTTCAACTGATAGACCTGAGTGAGATAGTTGACAACAGCCACCTTTTGGACTACTGTAATAAAATATTGGGATTTGACCATTACTTTTAAAATGTACCTATAACTTGAAGTGTAGAGCACAGTTTTTGTTTTGTAGCAAACGGATTGGAACCATAGACAATTGAATCAACAGTCTAGATTGGAACCATAGTCTGGCATGTTAATCACTGGGCCATACCCAAGCCAACAAACAAATGAATGATACTTTTTTTTAAATAAACATTGACTTTACCAGCAAAGTCAAAAATATAATAAGAAGAACAAAATTAAGAGTAATTAGTCAACGTAATAAGGCAATCATACAAGTTACTTAAAAAACTTTCAAACACGATCTTATTATAACTCTAAAGTGACACAATGGTGTGGATCCTCCTCTCTGCATGCTACTCTACAGTTACCCGATGGTGTGGATCCTCCGCTTTTTATGCAACTCTACAGTTACCCGATGGTGTGGATCCTACACTCTGCATGTAACTCTACAGTTACCCGATGGTGTGGATCCTCCTCTATGCATGCAACTCTACAGTTACCCGATGGTCTAAGCCTTCTCTATGGACATAATTCTATAGTTACCTGATGGTCTAAGCCTTCTCTATGGACATAACTCTACAGTTTCATATATTACCTCCGCTGATTTTTCCAAGCCAGTTCCCTTGGCTGTGGTTTCGCTAGATGGTCTAAGCCTTCTCTATGGACATAACTCTACAGTTATCTGATGTTCTAAGCCTTTTATAAGGACATAACTCTATAGTTATCTGATGGTCTAAGTCTTTCTCCATTAAGCAAGTAAATAATTACAAAATGTTTTTACCTGATAATCTAAAGCTTTATTCTTGCCTGATTCAGAACCTGTTAATCTGTAGAGATAAAATAAAAGAATATTTTGTTTTTAATCTAGTGACTTAGCATCAGAAAATAATATACTTATAATTGTTTGAAAGTAATAAACAATGCAGTGGAAGCAATTACACAAACAATATAACAACCCGAATCTAATCTTTTCTATAAAAAGCTTCTATAAAGAATGAATCCTGATCCAGAGTATTGATATAAATGATATTTATATTAGCATTGAATTCGTGGATATGGACTACAGGGTTACCTTGAAAGAGAAACAGAACAAACGTTTTTACTGATGAAATTACAAATTACCGAACTGATGCCATAGGTAATGATTGAGCCATAAATTCTGCTGATATGCTGCGTCGATTCATGTTGTTAACCACTTTCTCCACATGGCTTGTCACAGGGCCCTTTTCAAGGCTTTCATAAATATTCTTTAATAACTTTTCTCTTTCTCCTAGATGTTCCAGATTTTCATCACTGAAACTGAAAGGATGAAGGGTAAAGTCGTTCTCTTCAAGTGTGGATCGTGAATCTTCATCATCACTAACAGGTTCCTTGCACTCTGGAAGATTTCAACTAAGTTTTCACCAGGTGATGAACACAACTAAGAAAATTATTCTACTTTGAGTTCAAGTACAGAGTATGATTAAAATATGAAAAAATATAATCCATATTTGACACCTAATTTATATTTTATATTATATACAGCATTTATATACTACTATTACGACAGATGAAGTCATATGACGCTGGTAACACGTGATGAATTTCTCAAATGATCATGAATTATCGGGGAAGACAGAGTTTGTTCGAGACGCCCTCTTTTTTAGTATATAAGTCTGGCAGATAAAACCTACGGGAATGAATGAAGTAATTTACGATTATGTTTCGAGCTAGTGTGTGAAGTTATCGAGATTGTGAATTGCTGTGATTTATAGTGTGTATTATAAAAGTAGTTAAGGTTAAAGTGACGAGAAACGTATTGATTGTGAAATTACTGTGTACTAAAAGTTGTATCGAGAAAGAATAAACTGGTTTAATCAAGAAAGGACTTGTATCGGTGAAGTTCCTTGGAAAGAATTTCTACCGGAAATTAACAAACAAGCAGATATGCAACAAATTGATGTCAGAAGTGGGATGGAAAAGAAAAAAAATGGAAACGAGAAGTGGCAAATCAAACTACATCTTAGCAGATTTGATAGCAGGAATACAAGAACAGCAAAAGAGACAAGAAGAACGAGAAAAGAAACAAGAAGAGAGATTACAGCAGTTGTTGGAGGAGAAAGAAAATAAACAAGAAGAGCTATTTTTAAATGGTTTCAATATGGCTGTCTTCTTCTTCGTTCCAAATATTTACACCAATAACCTGTGAATTGACAGAAACCTTGATAAATATGTACACAAATTACCTTTGAACAGACAGAGATCTTGAATAATATATATATACCAATTACCTGTGAACTGACAGAAATCTTGATAAATACATACACCAATCACACGTTAACTGACAGAAACTGTGATAAATACATACACCAATCACCCTTGAACTGACATAATCCTTGATAAATACATACACCATTCACCCGTGTACTGACAGAAACCTTGATAAATACAGACACCATCTATCCATGAATTGACAGAAACCTTGATAAATACAGACACCAATCACCCGTAAACTGAACGAAACCTTGAGAAATACATACACCATTCACCCGTAAACTGACAGAAACCTTGAGAAATACAAACACCAATCACCCGTGAGCTGACAGAAACCTTGATAAATACGTACACCAATCACCCGTGAACTAACAGCCAACCTTGAGAAATATATACACCAATCACCCGTGAACTAATAGCCAACCTTGATAAATACATACAATAATCACCTGTAAACTGACAGAAACCTTGATAAATATGTATACAAATCACCTTTGATCTGACAGAGATCTTGAGAAATATATATACCAATTACCCGTGAACTGACAGAAATATTGATAAATATATACACCAATCACCTGTTTACCAACATAGACCATGACAAATATTACACCAATAACGTGTGAACTGACAGAAACCTTGATAAATACATACATTAATCACCTGTAAACTGACAGAAACCTTGATAAATATGTACACACAAATCACTTTTGATCTGACATAGATCTTGAGAAATATATATACCAATTACCTCTGAACTGACAGAAATCTTGATAAATACATACATCAATCACACGTGAACTGATAGAAACTTTGATAAATAAATACACCAATCACCCTTGAACTGACAGAATCCTTGATAAATACAGACACCAATCACCCGTGAACTGACAGAAACCTTGATGAATACATACACCAATCACCCGTGAACTGACAGAAACCTTTATAAATACAGACACCAATCATCTGTGAACTGACAGAAACCTTGAGAAATACATACACCATCACCCGTGATACAGAAATCATCTGTTTGCCAACATAGACCATGACAAATATTTACACAAATAACCTGTGAACTGACAGAAACCTTGATAAATATATACACCAATCACCTGTTTACCAACATAGACCATGACAAATATTTACACCAATAACCTGTGAACTGACAGAAACCTTTATAAGTATATATACACCAATCACCTTTGAGCTGACAGAGATCTTGAGAAATATATACACCAATTACCTGTGAACTGACAGAATCCTTGATAAATACGTACACCAATCACACGTGAACTGACAGAAACTTTGATAAATACATACACCAATCACCCATGAACTGGTAGAAACCTTGATAAATACAGACACCAATCACCCGTGAACTGACAGAAACCTTGATAAATACATATACCAATCACCTGTAAACTGACAGAAACTTTGATAAATATGTACACAAATCACCCGTGAATTGACAGAGATCTTGAAGTTTTTCTTGTGACTTGCTTGTGAAATAGTATCAAAATGAACAGAAGATAGGAGAAATGAATTAAAACTTAATGTATATGTGTAACATCCCTCACCCCAACTAGGCTGGTCTTTTACTGAAATAATCTCCACTGAAACGTTCTAAACTATTCCAATTACATATGAAAATATCACCGATATATTATTACTTACCCTTTGAAATATCAGAGTGGCATAGCTGATAACTCTCCTCAGTTCTTCTACAACCTGCAAGCACTGGTCTTGAGTAACTGAAAATTATTAAATAAGGTAGAACAGTTACTATTTAAATATGGTAATTTACTGTAGTGACTTCACTTGCACAAGGACATACTAAAACACTGAATTACAGTATATGATAACAGTAGTCAAACTTATGTGGTATGAAGAAAAGCTTTGAGGGTAGAATATAGTCAATGTACTAATTCAGATAGTTATAAGTTAGTAGTTATACATACTAAAACACTGAATTACAGTATATGATAACAGTAGTCAAACTTATGTGGTATGAAGAAAAGCTTTGAGGGTAGAATATAGTCAATGTACTAATTCAATTTGAAGATAGCTTGATTGGGTAGTGAAAGAAACTGCCATATGAACCAACCAGGAGACAGACACATTGAACCAAGAAGAAGACAGACATTTGAAGTATCCAGATAACTCATATTGAACAGATTACAAGGCAGCCATATTGAAACCATTTTAAAATAGCCATTTTGTACTAACTACAGGAAAGCCATTTTTTCATGGTCTATGTTGGTAAACAGGTGATTGGTGTATATATTTATCAAGGTTTCTGTCAGTTCACAAGTTATTTGTGTAAATATTTCACATGGTGTATGTTGGCAAACAGATGATTTCTGTATCACGGGTGATTGGTATATGTAT